TAAAGAATCGTTACTGTGTGGTAAAGATACTGCGGATGTACAAATTTGCGAATATTTCAATTGATTTTAAAAATTAAACATGCAGCAAAATATAATTACATCACTTCTAACATTACTAATTAGCTTTGCAAAACGCGTCACACCGACGATGGTACTTAACGTTAGCACTATGTATATCGCATGGAGTAATTATATTTTCTTCTGCATGTTGAATTTTCGTAAGAAATTATAAACATGATACCACACATAATTTCGTTTCACCGTATCACTTGTGCGAACGGAACGACAAATATCAGTCAGAAATTACATGATACCTTCGAGATACGCTTCCTCGTAAATTGAAAATTTCGCAGATTATATTTCCGTCGTGTACTATATCACGGGGGTATTCATATCAAACTATTTCAGCGTAATCTTTTCCGTTCGCGCAAAAGGTAAACAAAGGACAATGCCGCTCTCAAATTAGTGGAATTTTAGCACGGTAGCATGGGGGGTACGATATTGACTTTCAAACAACAAGCAGATTACAAACGAAATCCTAACAGCCTGAAATTTACGAAACCACGAGTCGGTAGCGAGCGAGCGAACGCGATAATCTCCATCAGAAACCTCCTAGCTTCCTGGACACTATCTAAATAACCAGCTGGGACGTTCCCCTCGTAATTCCCAATTAAGCACCAGGTCGTTTACCTAGTCATCTCATAAAACCACGTTCGTATGGCAGATACCGCGAGCACAAGTCAGCCGACTGTGACATCTATTTAGGTATCTGTGTCTCGGTTGACCGATCGACTATCATAGATTCCATTCTAGCATCGTTCGATTTTACAGTCCCGCTAACAATAATCCAGCTAAACGTCCTAACACGTTACAGACGCTGGGACTGCACGGCGCCTTCTGGTTCTACGCGGCGGTGGCGGTGTGCGGGCTGTGCTTCGTCGTCTGCTGCGTCCCGGAAACGAAAGGCAAACAACTGGACGAGATGAACCCGGACTACGCGCAGGCTCGGTAGTATAAGGCCTCGTTGACAGGTGGCCTGTCAAATTTGGAGAAGGCGAACAAGCCCTTACCGGGCGGAGCCTATCCCAACCAACACGATCCGCGGGATCTGTACAATGGGAGGGCCGCCAGGGACTCGCAGCCAGCGAGCTCCTATCAAACGACCGGCCGAAGCGGTCGCAAGCTGTCCGATTACTGCAGCATCTTCGCCGAGAAGACGAACAGGATCGGCAGGAACGTGGGCAACTTCATCCACTCTCGCGGCTTCTTCGCGGGCCGCTGGTCCACCGACGAGGGTAGCAATCCGGAGGCGGCGGTGGCGGCGGCGGCGCACAGAAGCAACGGCAACGCGATCCGAACCGACTATCGGCTGCCGGATCAGCTGGAAGACAGAGGAAACGGGCGCGATGCGAGCCGCAACCGCTACGCTCTGCCGGAGAGGAATCACCGCGACAGATCCGTCTACCCGAAGAGCGTGTACCCCCAAGCGAGAAGCGCCGACGCGAATTACGTGGATCGTAGCGCGGAGACGCAACCGAGGCGACCGAGGCGGCGCGAGTTAATGGACGCCTACCAGGATCTGGACACCTGGCCGGCCGGACCAAGCGACTTAAGCGGCTCGAAGCCGATCGCCAGGAACGGCATTAGTCACGGCAGGGCCGAAAGGTTCTACAGCTCCACCCTGCCCAGGCGGAGCAGGACTATCAATTTCAGGGATCAGCCGGGCTCCCTGGAATCCCGGCGCGGCTATCCGAAGAGCCTCCAAGATCTCTCCGACCTGGAGCTGGACGACGGTATCCGGGATCATCGGGGCACGCCCTCTTTCCTGTCGGCCGACAGAACGTGGCGGGACGACAGAACGGAAGAGGAGAGGATAGAGGGTAATCGGCGACGAAAGCTTCATCGCGAGGAGCAACTGGAAGACGACTATCTGAGACTGTACAGGAGCCTCTCGAGGCTGGACAAATATTCCCCGGGTGGGAGGTACGAGCCGGGACAGGTGCACTACGAGAGAGAGTGCCGGACATTCGGCAAGGACACCGTCGCGTTCATTTATTATAAAACTTGTTACTTGTGATGCACGAGGACGGGTGACAGGATCGATGGCCGGGATCGGATCGTCGCGATGCCGCCACGGCTAACGAGGACGTTGATCCTGATCGGTGACTCGGTCCTCCGTAACCTCGGTGTTCCGATGCGTGCGATCGATATTCGGTTCTGTCGAATCGGTGTGTCGTGTCTCGTGACCAGTATAGCGTAGTTACGGGTTTCCTCGAGATGTCTCTCCTTTAGAATTCACTCGATTCTGCTGTCGTTTCTTTGCTGCGTCGAGAGAGGAAACGGGGAAAGAGGGGACGAAGTCTTGATTTCTGCCGAGAGAAGATCTCATTAGCGGTGACTTTAGGTTGCTAAGTTCCTTGAAGATCGATCCGGGGACCGGTTCGATCGGCGAGTCCGCACTCGACGACGGCAACCCGTTATCGATATATATATATACATATATTATATATCGTTGATCGAAGATCGGGTAATTGATCGGTTGGTATAGTTTCAGGATTATTATTCCAAGCGACATTCTAAAGGCTCGTAATCAAAAGTGTACAATTTCTGATATCCATTTAGCGTCTAGGTAGAGGGTAACTTGGTAAGCGTGCAGCGACAAGATCGACGTTCGTTTTCTGTCTGACCAGTTTCTCTGCTCATAACGTGCTCGTCGCGCGAGCCGTCGACGGGCCACGATCTCTCCTTTTAGAAAGGTACATATACTCGACTGAACCACGCGATTTTGTATTAGCGATCGTCTTCGTATTTGCCTTGAGAACGTCGAGCCAGCGTATTTTGACCAAGACGCGTTATTACATTGAATTTAGCGTACAGCCATGTTATTTTCCGGGAGTCGGCCGTCGGAACGAACACCTGCGGACTGTATACACACGCAGGGTGTCCCGAAAGTGATGACACCGATGAGAACCGTGAACGGCGAACCGTCGGAAACGCGGAATATCATTTTCTCTTTCTGGGAAATCGAAATCGAAAACTTGTTCGACGCGCCGATTATTAGACAGAATAGGGTGACATGGGCAAAGAGGATATATCGTTCTAAAATTATTCTAATCGTTCTGATCATTATATTCTATTGAACTACAAGATTACGTCTGTTTTCCTTTTTTTCAAAGAAAATACGAAACCTTGTTCGTTTTCTAAATTCTTTTCTATCTTATCGGATGCTGCTACGAGATTATTGTCCCAAGCTAGTTACGTTCGTTTTCTTGCAATGGCAATTTTCCGATCTTCGTATTTTAAACTAGCATACTTAACTTCCCACGCGGAACGACAAAATAACGTGAATAACGAATATCATGAATCGGTGAAGCGGTAGATTCTTCGTTATCCCAGTCATTTATTTCTCACGTTCGACCATGCCACTCTATCTCTCGAAGCGCCATAAAACAAGTTTCCGAACCAGACTTTCCCAGAAACAAGACTTGAAATGATCATCTATTCGCGTCACCAGTTAGGGGTACACCGTGTACATCCGCGCTCGAAAGGGCCCTTCTCGTCGGGACTAAAACGAACGCTCTTCCGTGCAACGTGCCTTCTCAGAGAGCACGAAACAACTTCTAGGCGTGCCGGTGTCGCCGGCACGTCATTGTACATACACGAAAACGAGGGGAGGACAGCGTGTAGCTAGTCGTAAAACACTTAGAAATAGGCTCGATAGACTGATCCGTCGTTGATCGTCGACGTTTCTCTCGGAGTGTCCGCGATGCGACCTGACGATGCAGCTTTGCGGCGCAATTTTGCGGTGCAGCTTTGCGATGCAGCAGGTTCGCGGAACAACGCGTGCTGGGATCTCGACACGGGACAATACGCGAATAGAGAGAAAGAGAAGAAGAGAGAGAGAGAGAGAGAGAGAGAGAGAGAGAGAGAGCTGTCTCTTATACACATCTAGATGTGTATAAGAGACAGGAGAGAGAGAGAGAGAGAGCTGTCTCTTATACACATCTAGATGTGTATAAGAGACAGGAGAGAGAGAGAGAGAGAGCTGTCTCTTATACACATCTAGATGTGTATAAGAGACAGGAGAGAGAGAGAGAGAGAGCTGTCTCTTATACACATCTAGATGTGTATAAGAGACAGGAGAGAGAGAGAGAGAGAGCTGTCTCTTATACACATCTAGATGTGTATAAGAGACAGGAGAGAGAGAGAGAGAGAGCTGTCTCTTATACACATCTAGATGTGTATAAGAGACAGGAGAGAGAGAGAGAGAGAGCTGTCTCTTATACACATCTAGATGTGTATAAGAGACAGGAGAGAGAGAGAGAGAGAGCTGTCTCTTATACACATCTAGATGTGTATAAGAGACAGGAGAGAGAGAGAGAGAGAGCTGTCTCTTATACACATCTAGATGTGTATAAGAGACAGGAGAGAGAGAGAGAGAGAGCTGTCTCTTATACACATCTAGATGTGTATAAGAGACAGGAGAGAGAGAGAGAGAGAGCTGTCTCTTATACACATCTAGATGTGTATAAGAGACAGGAGAGAGAGAGAGAGAGAGCTGTCTCTTATACACATCTAGATGTGTATAAGAGACAGGAGAGAGAGAGAGAGAGAGCTGTCTCTTATACACATCTAGATGTGTATAAGAGACAGGAGAGAGAGAGAGAGAGAGCTGTCTCTTATACACATCTAGATGTGTATAAGAGACAGGAGAGAGAGAGAGAGAGAGAGAGAGAGAGAGAGAGAGAGGGAAGACTCGTAGAGAGGGCTGCAGTGTTCGAGGAAAACGTTGCTTCTTCCATGAGAACCTCGTACTCTCGTTCTTTCAAGCGTAACGGCTGATCCGTCGAACCGCCTCTCTAACAGTTCAGTTTCTCTGACCGTCGAGGACGGGAACATCGGCTGGCGAACAGTCGATTATCTCGCAGCCGCGGGCCGGAGCTCGTATTTAGCGCGATCGCGGTGAATCGATGGAATGATAATGGCACTTTCTAGCGTAGGAACGAGTAGCAGCTACCAGCGGAGAATACGTCTATTTTCTATTGAAACGCGGACCGTGTAGAACGACCGGTTAATGGGACGGGTGCGTTAGTTTTCCATCGATCCCGCGGCGCAGTTCTGTGCAATGTAGGATCGTCGGGACAATTATGCGGTACTCTATGGCTGACACAAAAGCGTAGAACGGAAGAATTCGAATGGAATATTTTGCGACGCGGGCTGAGGTTTATACACTCGGACCTCGTTCTAAGGATTTAGCGCGGGGGGACGGGGGGGCCATTGACTTAATGATGACAATATTAACTGTAGACGTTACGGATATATACTATACGATTATATATATATTATATATATACATACATACGCGTACTATCTTTCATACTAAGTAACTATTACGTAAATCGATTGCTAATGTACGTTGTGTGCGTGTGGTGAGCTGCGAAAGTATTAGACTGATGGTTGCAGAAACGTGGAGCTATATTAAATAATGGATAAGTAAGATGAACGTACTAAGAATGGGTGAAAGTTATTATGACCAGTAGACTGCGGATTTTTATGCGAAATATAAAATCTCTATAATTTTTTTACATTAATTGCAAGACACAGGGCTATGTGCATACTCATTTTTTTCTGAATAATTTTATGATTCGGTGTATTTGTAGAAGAAAATGCAATAATTAAATAATTAATTAACGGATATATAATATACATTTAATATATATTGATTAAATAATTAAATAAATATTTGTGAATTCTTTAAATTCACTTTGTATTCGAACGAACAATTTTTGCTATAAGTGCATAAAATCTACGGTCTAGTTGGATCCTATGTAATTATAATTATAATTATAATTGGTAATAGAATGTGCAATTTCGACCGACATATCTTTAGGAATGAAAACGGAAAATAGGTAACGAGTGATTTAAAGTTCTTCCACTAATTTGCGTTCCGTTGTATGATCCGTTGTTCTTCTAAGATTATTGTAAACCGGATAAAAAATTTGTACGCGTGCAATGAACCGTCGAGTACGCCGCCGTTCGAATATTTTCGTTGCTCACTGTACGAATGTGTGTATGAGCGCGCGACCACACCGCGCGCGTGAAATAAACTGTGCGACAATAGAATTTATTAACCATTTGCCAAACTCGTAGAGACCGAAATTCGGAAACAACGGCTTACCGTGGAGATCGAAATTCTGTAAAGTCGACGGCAGCCTCGGATCGAAGCATTATCTCTCTGCGTGGACTTAAAAATGTACAGGTTGTTTCAAGAGATATGCTTTACCGAGAGGTAAAAGGTACAGCGATAGTGTTCTTGGAAAGAAGAAAATTGTGATCTCGTTTTCTCCCTGATTTTAACATTCTTTCTCCGACGGAACGAGTAGTTGCATTCAGACGAGTAACTGACGACATTTTATCTTCAATCGGCTTTGATTCGTTCTATAAATAACATACTAAAGAGATCGATTATTTAAGAACTCGAATATTTTTATTTTTGTATCGACTTTGATAAGCCGAAAATGAACAAATTATTTCTGAATAATGTAAAGTCATCTTCGAATTAACGTCAAAGAGAAACGAAAATTCAACTAAACTTAACGCGCTTTGCAGAACAATAATTTCTAAACAGAAAGATTCAAAGAATAGAAAATATATTACTTTAATTCCGCTAAAATCGTCCAAGAGAGCAATAAATTCCAACGTGGCTTCCATTACTTGTAACAAATGCAGAAACTATTTAGTTTGCATAAAGAGACATCCTGTACAACTTCGTCACTTCGCGAATTTCGGAGAGGCTGTCGGCGACGATCGCGCGATTTTTTACAAGTTTCGTCGAAACATGCGTTCGTCTAGAGTAAAACCGATTCGTGCAATGATACCATCCAATCTCGAGTTTGAGAGAGGACCTCGGGTCTCTTATGGGAGTACAGAGACCGTGCGAAAACAAGCAACAACAACAACAACAAAAACAATGGCATTTGTATTTTGTATTTTTATATAGTTTGTAGAAGCGTCGAGTTTGCAGAGACGGCGATCTGCACCTGTGATCGAGCGCCCAGTCTTCACGGACGAAAATATTTTTCACCGATTATGCTTGTTTCTCTCGTAGCGACGCGATGGAGTGGCAAACGAAGAAACAGCTCCACTCTGTTTTCTCATCGCGGCACGTTCGCCCATATTACGGACTCTAATGAAATCACCGCCCAAGATCAGGGACGTTGATCTGAGCATATCAGTAAAACACATTAGATCTCCCGCGCCGCGATCTACCCCAGATCTGCGATCGATAATATTTTGTTCCGTGCAGTCTACCGGCAAGACTTCTTCTGATACCTGTAATCGTTTACACCCGTGAGTCATATCCCTGCCATATCCGATATTCTAACGAAGAGTGCCGGCTCTTCGACGTTTACAGCAGCGTGTACTTAAACCCCGAGGGGCAAGAATTAGTGGGCAGTGATCAATGAATCCGACTCTCTTCATCTTTCCGATAGCCTCTAAATACCGACAGCGAACGAAAAACAAAAGCGAACAAAAAGATACACTCCGACTGCGAGAAATTCCCCGTAAAACATATCTCCCGATAGTCGTTAAGCTTCCTCGCTGTCTTACGAAACGCAAAAAAGAGCGGCACCTTCGAATCTCATATCTACCTAAATGAATCTTATAATGCTCAAGGGCTTGGACGCAGTATTGAACGCGAGAAGGGGGAAGAGATAGGGAGAATTAGAGGGGAAAGAATGTGGGAGAAGGAAGATTAAATTTTACGATTATATTAAATTAGCGCAGGTGCAATGCTCGTGAAACGAGTGCACGTAGAATAAGAAAGCGATACGAAAAGGGAAAACTAAAAGAAAAAATGTACTCCTCGGTTCTCTATATATACATGTATATACGTATGTATATACAATTGTACAGAAAAAAAAACATTCTTCGACCATCGTAACACAACTATCTCTCGTTTCTCTTTAGCCGTGCCGAAACGAAAGCGTACGTACATAGTATTCTTCCCGAGAAATTTCTAGCGCCTCTTCTATTCTATTTAGCGGAACAAACTTACCCCCACTAAACCCCCTAACTAATATCGGACGGCATCCTTCTTTCTCAACTAAGTAGCTTAAGACAAGCAGTGAAGTAACAAGAAAAAAATCTGCACTGTGCACTCTCGTGAATTGAAGATTTTATTGTAATCATAGACGTAGCAGGTTAGACGAGTCGAAAGTCAGACACGATGATTCTAATTGCTGCACGCGTAGTTGCGCGACTGATCGAGGAGTCGTTTGATGCAGGCCGTGGTGAGTTTCTTGCTTTGCTCGGTATCGAGGATATTTTCAGTTCGTTGTACACTAAACCAAGCGGTCCATATATTTGGACGAGTGAAAATAGTCGAGGAAAGTCCTTATTGATTGTAACAAAGTAAGGTCTGTAAATTATTATTACTTTATGTTCTTTAACAGGCAAGTTTGTTGGAGATTATTTAAATTAATTTCAAAGCTACAACATTTGTCGCGATTATCTTCCATAAAGATTCGTTCGTATTTTTGGTACAGATTGTTAACATTAAACTCGCCGTGTCAAAATGAACCTTTTCATATCTTTTTTCTTTTAAAATTGTTCTAATTATAAAAACAATTTCACAGGAAATAATTGAATAAATTCAAGCATACATTGCGATCAAAGTGTACGAAAAGTCTACAATAAATTCAATCTTGTTGTTATTCCTACAAAGTAACGTACACATTACTCACTTTTAGATCTCGGTTGGTTCAGTGTATCGAATAGACAATAGTTGGAAGATTAATTAAGGAAGTCGTAGAACTAAAGTCGAATATTTATTATCGATAGAATTTATTGTATTCAAGGTAATGGAAAAACGTGTGCAACGAACGAATTTTTTTCAGATATTTAACAATCGATAGTTTGTTATCAATTATAAATTGAATGTTCCAAATGTTTACCGAAAGTTCACCGAGTGTCAGAATTTTCTTTCCGAGATAGTTGAAAAAAGTATTCCGTGGCCCGCATCATCACTCTGTGTTTGTATTATCCTGTATACCATGTATGAACGAACGTCTGTATATATGTACCGAGATAAGGGTGATGGAAAGTCGCTTTTAAGTGTGTGTATTCGGATTTATCTTCCCGAGGGAAATAGACGTCGCCGAAATATCCGACACCGAATCCGTACGGAACGGTATAGAAACTCGATATTAAAAATGAGAAGAATTATTTAAAGAAAAAATTTGGTACAACAAACTGGTTTGATAATTGTACTGAGAAAATGCTAACGTATCCGGGCATTTCAATCGCCACGGCCTGTCGAGTAGGCTATATACGTATATATAAATATATATATACATATACATATAAATATATAAATATGTCTTCTATTTGTCGACAATAAATTAACGCGAGCTATTTACAAGTTATCGACAATAATGGGACACTCGAAGGAAGCGCTGGCCGTCACCGAAGAGGGATGTTCAAATTGTAGTTACGCTAAATGAGAAGAGAATAATTCCGAGATCGTATTTTCCAAAAGCTGCGTACGTTAAGGTTACAATAGTACTACTATATTAAAATATATATATATATATATATATATATATATATACATATATATATATATACATATATACATATATATATATATATATATATATATGTATATATATATATATACATATATA